TCACCTACCACTACTTCATCAAATGCTTTTCAAATGCTCACCTCAAGAAAATGATGAATTACAACAGGTCACGGACCTTTGAGGTTGCTCAAGAACAACAAGAGCTGCATATAGTGAGTTCATCCAAAGTGAAATGTCTAAAACAAAGTCCCAGTTTATAAAGAGTAATAAGGCAGAGTTCATTACCCAGCTGCTGTCCAGGGTTCCCACAGCTCATCGCTGTAGAGGGAACACATCTACATGTAGAGGGAACACATCAGTGATACTGATGGAAATAAAAATTAAATCCTCAAATCTAGAATTTTGTGCTTTCTAAAACCTAGCCCCAACCGCCACTCTCTAGAAGTACCCTCTCCTCAACAATGCTCTAGGCAAATTACACAGGGGCTTGGCTTTCCAACTTTGAAGAGGAAGAGAGGTATATATACACGTTTCTCCACAAATCCTGTGCCACCCCTGTAAATTCAAACCCTAACCATCCTTCAGGCCCAGCTCCCAACTCCAGGAGGCTTTCTTTAAAAAGCACGTATTAGGGGTGCCTTGGTGGCTCAGTGGGTTAAAGCCTCTGCCTTCAGCTCAGGTCATGGACTCAAGGTCCCTGGGAACGAGCCCTGAATCGAGACCCACATTGGGCTCTCTGCTCAACGGGGAGCCCGCTTCCTCCTCTCTCTCTCTCTGCCTGCCTCTCCACCTACTTGTGATCTCTGTCCGTCAAATTAGTAAATAAAATCTTTAAAAATAAATAAATAAATAAATAAATAGCACATATTAACATGATCTGTCCTATTCAATGGCTATAGCGTCACTCAATCTCATTTGCTGAACTAAATCAGGAGAACCCCTGAGTTAAGTGGCCCAGAGGATTGTCCCCAGGTGGGGGGAACAGGGGAGAGAAAAATGACAGCCATTTTACATTGTTTTGCACAGTACTTATTGATTCAGGAAATAAACACAAAATTCTGAATAAAATGACTTAGAAACTGAAAGACAAATAGACAAATAAATAAAATAAAGTGATCTGTCCCTTCAGCTCCAAACCTTTTCCACCTTTTTTTCTCAGTGTTTCTTGCTGCCCTCCTCCCAGTTCCCTTCCCTTAATCCAACCTGCGCTCTGGCCACATCAGTCTAGTTGCTTCTCTCCAACACTCACTGCCTCTGGGGCTTGGCTCTCTGTCTGGATCATTTTCCCCCCGTCAAAAGCATACCAATCTGGTTATAGTTTACTAGAAAAAAGACAGCACAACTTGGGCTCAGGATATCTGAGTTAGAATCCCAGCTCCACTGACTCCTAGCCAAGATCCCCATCCAGGCCTACCTATTTCTTCCCACTAGGCAACACATTCTCCATATGTAAAATCAGATAATAACAAATCTGAGTATACCTAGTTAACTTGGGAATATAAAGGTACAAAAGGCATGATCTCTGCCATAAGAGCTTATGATTCTATGTGAGAAAACAGAAGGTAGCAGAATCTAGCAGGGGAGGAAACTGGCCTGGAGTTCAGACATACCACTGCCACAAAATCTGTGGAACCTGGGTAAATATCTTCCCTTTATTGGGTCTCAGCTTTCTTGCTCTGCAGTATGAGCAGGGGTTAATCAGGGTTTTTTAAGGCCCTCCCAGCTTAGCTATTTAGTGGGAAATAACCACAGTGCTAGCCCATTCATGAAATGAGCCAAAAGGGCAGTATGATAATGCCTAATGTAACCAGAAACAAAATGCTGGATTCAATGGAAGCTGTTCTGTGACGGGCAGATCCAATGGAACCTCAAAGGGGAGGTGGGAAAGTTGAAGCCAAATGACGAAAGTATCTGCTGCTAGGAGGTCATAGCTAATCGCAGGGACACTTCTCATTCACAGAAAGCTCTGCATTAACTCTTCATTCAGGTCCCAAGGTCCCTGCCAACACAAAGAAGCCTTCTGCCTAGAGAAGAAGTACCAGTCAGGAGCCTCATGGGACACAACGGATAAAGTCAAATGGGGCACAGCCCATCCTGCCCAAAGCTGGAGCCACATCTACAGCCTTCCCAGTAATCAAATTTTCTCTTGCCAGAGCAGATAATGGGAGCAACAGAATGCTGAATTTCAGATGTTGAATTTTTTCAAAATATGTACTGCATCTCAAGTCCTTTGAGCCAAAAACACAGTTTTTGCTTTGTAGTACTTACAAATTTCAGAGAAATAGCAACAAATTCTTTTTCTAAGCATCAGAAATAGTACAAGCAGTTTTGGGGCACCTGGGTGGCTCAGTGGGTTAAGCCTCTGCTTTCGGCTCGGGTCATGATCCCAGGGTCCTGAGATCGAGCCCCGCATTGGGCTCTCTGCTCCGCAGGGAGCCTGCTTCCCCCTCTCTCTCTGCCTGCCTCTCTGCCTACTTGTGATCTCTCTCTGTGTCAAATAAATAAATAAAATCTTAAAAAAAAAAAAAAGAAAGAAATAGTACAAGTAGTTTTTCCAACTGGTCAGATTCAGGTTTAAGTCCCAGCAACTATTTTTTTTTTTTTTAAAGATTTTATTTATTTATTTGTCAGAGAGAGAGAGGGAGAGCGAGCGAGCACAGGCAGACAGAATGGCAGGCAGAGGCAGAGGGAGAAGCAGGCTCCCTGACGAGCAAGGAGCCCGATGTGGAACTCGATCCCAGGACGCTGGGATCATGACCTGAGCCGAAGGCAGCTGCTTAACCAACTGAGCCACCCAGGCGTCCCCCAGCAACTATTTATTATCTACCTAACTGTGGGCAAGTTATTTAACACTGACCATTAGATTCCACATTCATAATAGTGTGACTAAGAATCTCGAACTCACAGAGCTGGCCTGATAATTAAATGAGATAAATGTGAAGAACACTGCAGTCATTCAAAGTGAATTTCTCCTTCCTTTCTGCTCCTATACCATACTGTATTTACTTCTAATATAGCACTAATCCCACTTTCTTTGTTACGTTAGTCACCATACAGTACATCATTAGTTTTTGATGTAGTGTTCCATGATTAATTATTTACATATAACACCCAGTAGTAGCACTAACCCCACTTTATTATCCTTATATATATATATAAATATACATATATTTACATATAATATACAGACAGGATTCCTGCCTTCATGGAGTTTATTGCCCAGTGGGGAAGACCAATATGGAATAAATATGTGTATATATATGTATGTATGTTTATATATGTATTTGTATATTTATATACTCCATATATCTAGCTCTGCCATGAGACTGTGAATGGCTTGAGAGCAGGGACAGTATTTTCATTCATACTGGACATCTCTTAAAACAGTGCCTGGCACATAGTGGGGCCTTAGGAAATTCTAGGAATGTGCCTGACATGTGTTTAGTCCTATGCTAAGTGCTATAAAGGGAACAAAATAGGATCGCAATAATGTTAAACATAATAGAACATAGCAATAATCAATACATAGCATTTACTCTGTTTCAGACACAATTCTAAAGCCTTTACATTAACTCTTTTCCTGATCGTATTACTGATCATATTTCCTGATCGTATTACTGTCCCCACTTTGTGATGAGAAATTGAGGCAAAGAAAGGTTAAATAACTTGCCCAAACCTGGAACACGCAAATCCACAGAGAAAGAAAGTAGTTTAGTGTTTGCCAGGGAAAAGCCACCTGAGTCTGTGCCTAGCAGTAAATGTCTACTGAGTCTATGAATGTATCAATGGGCCTCTGGTACTTTAAAGAGTAAGAATGTCTGCATGGTAGAAAACCCTTTATTCATTCATCCAAAAATATTTATTAAGTGCCTTCCATGTACCTGGCAATTAATAAACAGACATGATTTCTGCCCTCATGGAGTTTATTGCCCAGTGGGGAAGATCAATATGGAATAAATAACTACAAGTATACTAATAAATTACTTAAAAAATAAATACAGATTGCTATGGGAGCTTAGAAGACACAAGAACATGCAGGTGCAGAACATTTAGATTGTAAGGTACCTTTAAGGTCACTGAGTCCACATACTTTTTTTTTACTTTTTTTTTTTTTTTTTTTTTGAGAGAGGGAGAGGAGGGTTAAAGGCAGAAGGAGAGGGAGAGAGGGAAATCCAAGCAGAAGCAGGTGCCACACCGAGCACAGTGCCCAACACGGGGCTCAATCCCATTACCCCAAGATCATGACTGGAGCCAAAATCAAGAGTCAGATGCTGGAACCACCTGAGCTACCCAGGCACCCCATATACCTTTCTTTCTTAAGCAGTTGAGTAGTAATAGTCTCTGCCCATCCCAATCTCTGTATCGTTACGCCTCAAGCAGGTAGGCTAGAACCCAGGCTACCTGATTACTACAGGCTATTGCTCTTTTTGCTATTTCAATTCATAGATTTCTAAATTCAACAGAAATAGATGCTATATATTAACAGTTAAAAGACACAGTTTATTTAGGAAGGAAAAGTCTTATTATATAGGTCATGATGGATTATGCCTGCCCATTATTATTTCTCTGAGGGTACATTTCTTCAGAAATAAATATTTCTGTTCCTAAAGAAGATCAGGAAAAAACAACTTGTAAGTATCTTACATACTGCACAAACTTGGTTTTGGCTCAGGGATACCAATAATTTTTTTGAAATACCTAATATCACCTTGAGTGTTTCTGAACATGAAGGCAGACACTAACACTTCAACATAATATAGGAAGTATATATTGCTCATGTTAGAGTCAATTACAGTATTAGAAGATTTGGAACCATTCCTTTCAGCATGGGTCATAACTTAATAGTAAACGCCTATAAAAAAGGCAGCAGGTCTTAGGAAACTAGAAAAAGGAAAGCAAAATAAATACAAAATAATCAGAAGAAATAATAAGAATTAGAGCAGAAATCACCAAAATTGAAAGCAGGAAATCAGTAAGAATATCAATGAAACCAAAAGCTGGTTCTTTAAAAAGATCAATAAAACTGATACTAAGAAAAAAAGAGAGAAGACACAAAAGACTAATATCAGAAATGAAAGAGGGGACATCCCGGTCTCAAAATGGAGGGCCACGATCCAAAGGAACCAGAGCAGTTGAGAAAACTGTTTATTGGTGGTTTGAGCTTTGAAACTACAGATGATAGTTTAAGAGAACATTTTGAAAAATCGGGTACACTTACAGATTGTGTGGTGATGAGAGACCCCCAAACAAAACGTTCCAGGGGTTTTGGTTTTGTGACTTACTCTTGTGTTGAAGAGGTGGATGCAGCAATGTGTGCCCGACCACACAAGGTTGATGGGCGTGTAGTGGAACCAAAGAAAGCTTTTTCTAGAGAGGATTCTGTAAAGCCTGGTGCCCATCTAACAGTGGAGAAAATTTTTGTTGGTGGTATTAAAGAAGATACAGAAGAGTATAATTTGAGAGACTACTTTGAAAAGTATGGCAAGATTGAAACCACAGAAGTTATGGAAGACAGGCAGAGTGGAAAAAAGAGAGGATTTGCTTTTATAACTTTTGATGATCATGATACAGTTAATAAAATTGTTGTTCAGAAATACCACACTATTAATGGGCATAATTGTGAAGTGAAAAAGGCCCTTTCTAAACAAGAAATGCAGTCTGCTGGATCACAAAGAGGTCATGGAGGTGGATCTGGCAACTTCATGGGTCGTGGAGGAAACTTTGGAGGTGGTGGTAACTTTGGCTGTGGTGGAAACTTTGGTGGAAGAGGAGGCTATGGTGGTGGTGGTGGCAGCAGAGGTAGCTACAGAGGAGGTGATGGTGGATATAATGGATTTGGAGGTGATGGTGGCAACTATGGTGGTGGTCCTGGTTACAGTAGTAGAGGAGGCTATGGTGGTGGTGGACCAGGATATGGAAACCAAGGAGGTGGATATGGAGGTGGTGATGGAGGATATGATGGTTACAATGAAGAAGGAAATTTTGGAGGTAACTATGGTGGTGGTGGGAACTATAATGATTTTGGAAATTATAGTGGACAACAGCAATCAAATTATGGACCCATGAAGGGGGGGCAGTTTTGGTGGAAGAACCTCGGGCAGTCCCTATGGTGGTGGTTATGGCTCTGGTGGTGGAAGTGGTGGATATGGTAGCAGAAGGTTCTAAAAAATTTTCAGAAGAAAAGGGCTACAGTTCTTAGCAGGAGAGAGAGCGAGGAGTTGTCAGGAAAGCTGCAGGTTACTTTGAGACAGTTGTCCCAAATGCATTAGAGGAACTGTAAAAATCTGCCACAGAAAGAACAATGATCCATAGTCAGAAAAGTTACTGCAGCTTAAACAGGAAACCCTTCTTGTTCAGGACTGTCATAGCCACAGTTTGCAAAAAGTGCAGCTATGATTAATGCAATGTAGTGTCAATTAGATTTACATTCCTGAGGTCTTTTATCTGTTGTAGCTTTGTCTTTTTCTTTTCATTACATCAGGTATATTGCCCTGTAAATTGTGGTAGTGGTACCAGGAATAAAAAATTAAGGAATTTTTAACTTTAAAAAAAAAAAGAAAGAAAGAAAGAAAGAGGGGACATCACTACAGATCCCCCAGAAATTCAAAGGATAACGAAAAATACTATAAACAACTCTAGAAGAAAAGACCAATTCCTTGAAGGACACCATCTGCCAAAACGCACACCAGAAGAAAGAGATGATATGAAAAGACCTCTATCAAATCGATAATCAATAATCTTCTAAAACAGAAAGCAGCAGGCCAGGATGGATTCACAGGATGGGGGTAATTCTACCAAACATTTAAGGAAACAACGATATCAGTTCTCTGCAATGTCTTTCAGAGGATAGAGGCAGAGGGAATACTTCCTAACTCATTCTGTGAGACCAGCATTACCCTAATACCAAAACTAGACAAAGATATTACAAGAAAAGAAAAATATAAACCAATCTCTCTCATGAACACAGATGCAAAAATCTTCAACAAAATATTAGCAAATGGATTCTTTTTTTTTTTTTTTTCAAAGATTCTATCCATCCATCTGACAGAGATCACAAGTAGGCAAAGAAGCAGGCAGAGAAAGGAGGAAGCAGGCTCCCCAATGAGCAGAGAGCCCGACGCGGGGCTCGATCCCAGGACCCTGGAATCATGACCTGAGCTGAAGGCAGAGGCTTTAACCCACTGAGCCACCCAGGCACCCCTAGCAAATGGATTCTTAAAGAGTATAAAAAGAATTATACACCATGACCAAAAGGGATTTGTCCCAAGTATGCAAGGGTGGTTCAACATTCGAAAATCAATTAAGATAATCCATCATATCAACAGACTAAAAAGAAAAATTACATGATCATATCAACAGGTGCAGAAGAAGCATTTAACAAAATCCAATATCCATTCATGATAAAAATTTTCAATAACCTAGTTAAGATAGGGGAACAGTCTCAACTTTAATAAAGGCTGTCTATGGGGTGCCTAGGTGGCTCAGTCAATTGAGCATCTGGCTCTTGATTTTGGCTCAGGTCATGATCTCAGGGTCATGAGGTAGAGCCCCCTGCTGGGCTCCACGCTGGGCATGGAGTCTACTCAAGATTCTCTCTTTTTCCCTCTGTCCCTCCCCATCCCTCACATACATACTCTGTCAGTCAATAAATAAATAAACAAATAAATAAATGTTGTCTACAAAAAACTACAGCTTAAACACTGCATAGTGAGAAATTCCAACTTTTCCCACTAAGATCAGTAACAAGGCAATGATATCCCCTCTAGAAATCTTCAAAATCATACCAGAAGTCCTTGACAATGCAATAAGGCAAGAAAAAGGAAATCAAAGGTATACAGATTGGGAAGGAAAACATAAAACTGACTTTGTTCACAGATTAAATGATCATCTACACAGAAAATCCAAAAGAATGAACAACAACAACAACAAACTCCTGAAACTAATATATAGTAACAGCAAGGTTGTAGGATACAACAAGGTTGCACAATACAAATAAACTGCTTTTCTGCAGATTAACAAAGAGGAAGTGGAATGTGAAATTAAAAATACAATACCATCTACATGAGCACCCCTAAAAAGGAAATATCTAGGTATAAATCTAACAAAATATATATAAGACCTACTTAAGGAAAACTACAAAGTCTGATGAATGTAATAAAAGAACTAAATAAGTGGATATTCCATGTTACTGGATAGAAAGACTCAATATTGTCAGGATGTCGGTTGTCCCCAACTTGATCTATAGATTCAATACAATCCAAAGAAAAATCCCAGCAAGTTATCCTATGGATAACAACAAATTGATTCTAAAGTTTATATGGAAGGGCAAAAGACCCAGAATAGCCAATATAACACAGTAGTTGTAGGACTGATACCACCTGACATCAAAACTTACTACAAAACTATAGTAATCATGACACTGTGTAGCACTGGTGGAAAAACTGACAAATAGAACAATGGAACAGAAGAGATAGCCCAGAAATAAAGCCACATAAATACAGTTGATTGATCTCTGATCAAGGAGCAAAGGCAATACAATGGAGCAAAGACAGTCTCTTCAACAAATGGTGCAGAAAAACTAGGCAGTCATATGCAAAATCATCATCATCATCATCATCAGATACAGACCTTACACCTTTCACAGAAATTAACAGAAAACGGATCACAGACTTACATATGAAACACAAAAGTATACAACTCCTAGAAGAGAACACAGAAGAAAACCTACATGATCTTGAGGACAGTGATGCTTTTTCATCTACAACATCAAAGATATGACTCATAAAAAAAAGCTGATAAGCTGAACCTCATTAAAATTAAAACTGCTGCTCTACAAAAGACAGTATGAAAAGAATCAGAAGACAAGCCACCAGTAGTGAGTTATCTCAACTGATCACAGAAAAAAAGCCACAGATTGGGAAAAAAATATTTGCAAAAGACACATCTGATAAAGAATGTTGACTAAAATATACAAAGAACTCTTAAAATTCAACGATAACAGAATAAACAACCCAGTAGGGGCACCTGGGTGGCTCAGTTAGTTAAGTATCTGATTCTTGAAGATCTCAGGAGAGTGAGATCGGTCTCCACACTGGGCATGGAGTCTGCTTAAGATTCTTTCTTTCTGGGGCGCCTGGGTGGCTCAGTGGGTTAAAGCCTTCTGCCTTCGGCTCTAGTCATGGTCCCAGGGTCCTGGGATGTGGCCCCACATCGGGCTCTCTGCTCAGCAGGGAGCCTACCTCCCTTCCTCTCTCTCTTTGCCTGCCTCTCTGCCTACTTGTGATCTCTGTCAAATAAATAAATAAAATCTTTAAAAAAAATAAAACAAAATAAAAGAAGGAAATGCTTAAATTTCCCTAGAAATAGCACTATGCCATCTTTCCCTCTTCCTCTGTCCCTCTCCCCACCCCTGTTCACATACATGCACAAAGCTCACTCTCTCTCTTTAAAGAGAAAAAAAAAAAAAAGGTAAATAAATAAAAAATTTTTAAAAATTTAATGGCCCGGGGCACCTGGGTGGCTCAGTGGGTTAAAGCCTCTGCCTTCGGCTCAGGTCTGATCCCATGGTCCTGGGATCGAGCCCCACATTGGGCTCTCTGCTCAGCAGGAAGCCTGCTTCTCCCTCTCTCTCTCTGCCTGCATCTGTGCCTACTTGTGATCTCTGTCTGTCAAATAAATAAATAAAATCTTAAAAAAAAAAATTTAATGGCCCAAAGAACTTAACAGGCACCTTGCTTATGCAAGTAAGCATGTGAAAAGATGCCTCACATCATAAGTCATCAGGGAAATGCAAATTAAAACAATGATGAGATACCACTACACAATTACTAGAGTGGCCAAAATCTAAAACACTGACAATACCAAATGCTGATAAGGATGTAGAGCAACAGGAACTCTCATATATTTCTGATGGGAATGTAAAAGAGTACAGCCACTTTGGAAGACAGTTTTGCAGTCTCCTTCAAAACCAAACATATTCTTACCATGTGATCCAGCAATCATACTGCTGAGTATTTATCCAAAGGAAGTAAATATGTATATCCACACAAAAACCTACAAAAGGATATTTATAGGCAGCTTTATTCATAACTGCCAAAACTTCAAAGAACCCAAAATATCCTCCAATAGATGAATAAATAAATTGTAGTACATCCAGACAATGGACTATTATTCAGTGCTAAAAAGAACTGAGCTATGAAAAGACATGGATGAAACTTAAATGCATATTACGAAGTGAAAAAATCCTATCATAAAAGGCTACATACTGTATGATTCCAACTATATGACATTCTGGAGAAGGCAAAACTATGGAGACAATAAAAAGATCAATGGTTGCCAGAGGTTAAGAGGGATTAGACCTTGTCACTTTCCTTCCTTGTGAGGACAGTGAAATATTCTGTATGATAAAATGATAGCTATGTCATTATATATTTGTCTAAACCCAAGAATATACAACACAAAGAGTGAACTCTAAGGGAAAGTATGGACTTCGTGTGATTATAATGTATCAATGTAATTTCACCTTTGGCAAAAAATGTACCATTCTTATAAGTGCTATTGGTAAAGGAGGAGACTATCCATGAGTGAGGGAAAGGGGTATATGGGAAATCTCTGAACCTCCCTCTCAAATTTAGTTGTAAACCTGAAACTATTCTAAGAAAATAAAGTCTTAAAAAAATTTTTTTAATATTTTATTTATTTATTTGACAGAGATCACAGGTAGGCAGAGAGGCAGGCAGAGAGAAAGGAAGGGAAGCAGGCTCCCTGCTGAGCAGAGAGCCCGATGTGAGGCTCCATCCCAGGACCCTGGGATCATGACCCAAGCCAAAGGCAGAGGCTTTAGCCCACTCAGCCACCCAGGCGCCCAAAGTCTTAAAAAAAATTAAGTGAGGCTAGGGGAAAGAGTGGGGAGTCCCAGTGATTCCACTTACTGGCTGTGTGTTTTGGGGGCAGGAGCAAAAGCTATCTAATTCAATCTTGTATTCTCAGTGTCTAATACAATGTCAATGTCTTGGCACATAGTAGTACTCAAAACACATTTGTTGAAAGCCTGACTGAATAAAGAAACTGCTTAAATTTTTTTGATAGGTTTTCTTTTGCTCTCTCTAGTAAGTGACAGAAGCAGGGTATGAATCTCTGCCTCTCCATCCTCCACGAGTGTCATCCAGGGATTTTAGACAGTAGTGTACATGCCTATAATAAAGTTGTATCCATTTCTCAGAAAAGATATCAAGTACCCAGCTAGAAACAATGTCCTGGTGACAGATTATGTCTCCC